AATTACAAACAAAAATTGTTCTTTCATTAACAGCACAAAAATATCTCTAGCAATTTCTCAAAAATGGCTTCTTTAATGAATGAGGTAATTTTGAGGGACACATAACACACCAGATAAATTAAAAACATTGTATTTCAATCTTTAAAAAATGCTGTTGAGCATTTTCAGTGAGGTGGGTCTTCAAATTCCTCACACTCTTTTATTCTCATTCTTCCTCTCACTCTTTTATTGTCCCATTTTGCACATTAGGAAACTGTGGCCCAGGGATGTTGATGTGTCCAGTACTGTGGGCCGCTCAGCCAGAGTCTCACTCCAGAGCCTCACTCCAGAGCCTGCTCTTCTAACTGTGAAACCATCAGTGTTAACAAAACGCTTGCCTGCTGAGCAGGGTTATTACTCCTGATGCTGAATAACCTTGTGCCTTTGAAAACACTCGGCATTGCTGCCCTTCAGGCACCGAGTGCCAGTACCAGCTCCCCATCTCCTGGGAAATTAAAAATTCCCTCATATCTTTTCAAGCTCCTTGTAAAGATGACATTCTCTCTATTCCAAACATATCAAAAACAACCATTAAAGGAAACACCAAATTGAATTGAATTCTAGAAACGTGGGGCTCAAAAGAATTCTGTTGGTTTAGTTTTTACAGTTAATTTGCACAGAGAAGAGAATAAGGAGAACCAAGGACTGCTAGGTTGAGTTTTTCACTTATTGACTCTGAGGTCAAATAAGTTTAAAACCCCACACAGTTAGCATGTACTATGTACCGAGAAATATGTTAGACATTTTCATCACTGTGTAAAAGGAACTCGGTGGGAGAGGTGAGAGAGAAATAGAGAAAATTATTATTTTCCTCATATTATGTTTGAAGACAGTAACATTTACAGAACTTGACTTGCCAAGCAAGAGTTTTATTTAGGCTTCTTTTTACAAGCATAGCTGTCCTGTGGATCTTCTGGTGACTGGAAATGGAATTTGAGAACTTGGTAAGAAAAATAAAAGGATTGAACTACAGTTATAGCCATAAAATTAAAAAGAAGAGAACACATGAAAATCAGTCACTACTAATATAGTAAAAGCGTGTCTTGTAGAAAAAATGTTGTGGCAAATATTTAGAAATAAATGATGCCGAGGAGGAAGCGGACTAGAATCAGGAGAGCGAGGCAGGAGATGCCGGGAGTGGAGTGGGAATGGAGGCGGCCAATAGAGATGGAGGAGCTGGGGGAGAAGGTGCTGGACAAGTGGGGGCGAGGTGGTCCACCGTGCCCACTGCCCCCGATGGGTGAGAGGGACTGACGGTGGGGGAAAACCCTCTTAGAATTCAAGGCAACTTCTTGGAGTCGAAGGCCAATGCACTATCAAACATCTCCAAGGTGTAACAAATTTTGAAAGTCCAGTTTTAAAAACTTTTGGAGAAAACAGTCATTTGTTAAAAAAAGAAAAACCTTGAAGTGGTTGGAACGTAAAAGCAAAGTGTTAAGAAACTAACACGTGGGGAAAAAAGTATGCAGTATTTGAAAACAAGCTTCTGGGGAATTTACCAGCATGTGAAGGAGTTACGAAAACAGAGCAACTTTGGCTCAGAGCCCTCTCAAGCGTGTGATGGGGCTGTAAGCATCTTCTCTGAGATAAATGTGAGATAATTGTTGAGAGTGAGCCTTCCCGTATTTAGACGCCTCTCCTCCTGAGGACAGAAAGCTTTATGTGCTGCAGTAGGCTCTGGTTCTAGGGCAGGAAGACTCTGCTGTGCGCCCATTGTTAGATGGACTGCACTTCCCCTTAATAGGAAAAGGTCTCCAGTTGTTTTGGAAAGACTGAGGCAGCTCTGGGACGGGAAAGGCTCCCCAGTTGCGGGCCCGGTAACTGCAGATTCTTTGTTCGTTAGTCAGTCTCCTGAGCTGGAGCAAAGGATGTGGCTGGGGCTGGAGGTGGGGACTGTGTGCGTGTGTGTTCTCACTTCCGTTTCCCCTTTTGAGCAGGCAGTTGAATGAGGACAGAGAGAAAGGCACAGTCCACAGCATGACGCTTTCTCACTGCCCTCACCTCTGTCTCCACACCTGGGAAGGCCACCGCCCAGCTTCGAGAACTGCTTTGATTCAACAGGTAAGTACACATTATCCTCCCGTTTTAAGGCTGTACTGATTGAGGATGATGGTGAGAGAGAAGGAAACAGGTCAGAGAAGGAGAATCAGGCTGCCAAGAAAAGAGAAAAGGCAGGAGATTTCCTCCCTGACTCGACCCTCAGAAACGTGGTCATTGCACCTTATGGGAGGGGAGGCTGCTCCTCTGTGTGCTTCCTCCCCCCTGTACGAGAGAGATTATCTTTCTAAGGTCACAAAACTGGTTCCTTTGATGACTTGAATAAATACCTGGCAATTTTTAACCTTTGTCACCTGAGAAGTTTCTTTCTGTGTCTTACTGAACTCCTTGTTACTGCAATTTCAATCTAATTCTAACTTGGAAAAGTTCTCAAGGAGAAAGTCTTCCAGTGTCATTGCAAGTCCTCTCCTGGAGTCCACAGCTCCAACTATTGGGACTCCGTAGCCTCGATGAATTTTGCTCTCTGTGGGCATGAGTGCTTTCCTCGGAAGCTTAGAGGGAAGCTGGTGACATAAACTGCAGTGAGATAGACTGGGGTCAGCTGGGAGGGAAGATTTGCACAGTTGGACGGTCCCAGGCCAGATTAACTGGGAGACTCAAGCTGGATAATTACCTGTCAGAACTGGTTTTGGGGCTTCACATCTCAGAGAGGGATAGATGGATATGTTGATCACTCACTGACCTACATAACACTGGAGGCATCGATGTTCCTCCAGCAGCCCTTTTCTCAGTGGTAGCCAGGCTGAGCGTGCTACCACCTACATGTATTGGGGGGAGGGGGGAGAGGTGGAAAGGTCCTCTACACTGGGGCTCTCCCTTACTCCTGCTGCACAGCTGAGCTCACCACCAGGTGGAGAAAAGGTGGGTCCCCAGGGCAAGATAAGAGAGTTCCACAGAAGTGTCTCAACAAGATTGTGAGGGTTTAGAAGAGATATCGTGGGAAGTATTAGTGCCTCTACCACGACGACTGAGTAGAAAGTAAAGGAAACTTTCTGGACAGTGCCGGACAATGAGTAGGATAGGAGCTTGGAGGTCAGAGGCTTTCAACTTGTGTGTCCAAATTTCAGATTCAACAATTGCTCACTTGCGGGCTTAGAGACAAAGATCTGGTATAGTTCTCTTGCAGCGTGTAGCATGAGTGGGAAGAGAGGAAGGCAGGTGTATTGTCTATCTCTGAGAGTATTGTCAGAAATAAGGAGCTGAAGATAGAACAGAAGGATAGGAAGAGATCTAACACACACACGCTTCTTACTCACATGCACCCCAGGGAGTCTAGGAACTGTTTACAACTATACTGATAGCATAGTCTCATAACTCTCTGTTGGTTCTCTGAAAGTTAAGATTGAATCCTGCAATTAAGTGTCATGGAGCAGACGTGGAAGCTGAATACAGGCATTCTCAGTCTAAGGCAAGGGTCCTCAAACTTTTGAAACAGGGGGCCAGTTCACTGTCCCTCAGACCGTTGGAGGGCCAGACTGCGGGTTCCGGGAGGGGTCGGCTGCTAAGCAGGACAGGCAGTGGCGGCAAAAGCACCTGGCGGGCCAGATAAATGTCCTCAGTGGGCTACATGTGGCCTGCAGGCCATAGTTTGAGAAAAGCTGGTCTAAGGCTTGCGATTTGGATCCTAGTAGAGAATGAAAGCTTGCTGTGGGCTCCAGTAAGAGAACGAGATTAAGCATTTATTTCCACTTGACAACTGTTTTGTTTTCCACCTAAGAAACAAGACCAAAGTGGGTGTTCCAGTCCCACCGTACCCTGCCCTGCCTCACCCAGACCCAACGCAGAATGGCTTCAAGACAGGTTTGGGGCTGAGCGTAAAGTTTAACCAAATGAGTAGAGGGACAAGAAGAAGAGTTTGTGTAGATACTGAGAGAGAAAAGGGACAAAGAATTAAAAATAAATAAATAAATAAAGAGCACATAAGGGAAAGAGTTTCATTACCATGGAATAGAACTGAAGGATTAAAGATGTGACTTCACAGAGCTAAGTCAATGGTCAAGAAATCTCACTCTTCCTCCTATCGCCAGATGAAACCATCTATAAGCCAACCCAGATGAGCTGCTGTTTCTCATTCATGATGTCTTTATTGCCCTCCCAAATGAAAACATTTGATGTTTTCCAGTGTTGAGAACACAGGATCATTCTTTTCTAAATGCAGAACTTTAATATTTCCTGCAGCAGGTTACAAGCTGTCCATAAGGAGATGTAAAGAAGAAAGAGAAGGAGAAAAAAGAGATCTTAGATGGTCTTTCAGTATTTATTCAGGTAAACCTTTTTGTGAGAGGGAAGATAGGGAAAGGGCAGGGAAAAGGAATTCTGCTTATTAATTGGAATTTTTCTTGCTATTTCCGAATAACACCCTCCCTTTTTCCTGCAGTAGATGATAGAAGTTCCAGAATGCTCCCTTAGATGACTGAAGTCTTGGAATCCTTAAAGGTTCTACTCAGGATAATTTTTGTTCTGATGACCCTCCAGACTGCAGGGACATGAAAGGGGGGTGGAAACAAAGCAGGCGCTGCTTATCTATGAAAGAATGTGAGAGCAGTTACAGGTTGGGGTATGGAGAGTAGGGGACGGTCCACCTGGCTTGAGGTGGGGTTTGTCCAAGCTGCAAACTGAGAAATGTTAGTCATTGTGGGATTTCCCGCAGCCCTTTGCAATGGTGGCAAATGTGCATCTTGTCTGTGGATGCAGAAGGTCCCACAGGCCACAGGATGGAAACCCCGTTTCCTTTTTTTCTCCTCCCACGCTGGGTGTCACTCTCAGTCCCAGTTCTCAGGCACTGTTTGGGGCATAGGTACGATACGGACAGAAGAGAAGAGAGTGTGTCTGACACAATCGTACATGTCCCTGAGAAGAGGCCCAGAGCACTGGAGACAAACCTATGCTGGGCCTTGGAAACCAAGAGTGGCGAGAGGAAGGCTGTAGGATACAGAGGGAGGGAGCAACATCTGGGACCCCGAGCTTGTGAGTTTCCGTCCCATTTACAACCACTACGATTCTTTGTGACCCCAGACAAGTTTCTCTTTCTCTCCTCAACTACAAGACGAGTGTCCAAGATTAAATGATCTCTCTGATCCCTTTGGATATTAGACAAGAATGAAGGATTTTTTCATTGCTTAGCTTTCATCTGTTTTTAACAGCAACATCCCTCTTTCACCATCATTTTTCCTTCCTTATTCCTTCAGACATTCCAATTCTAGTGAACAGCTTAGACTGAGGGCCCATTAGCAGTAATTATACCTGTCATTTATTAAGCCCCTCCCTAATACATCGGGAAATTCATACACATTACCTACTGTTTTGACTACTGTTTTGCATAGGAAGAAACTTAGGTACAGAGATACAAGCAATTTTACCAAGGACAAATGTGCAGTAAATAGGCATAGCTGATTCCCAATAAGGCTTATTCAGATTCCAAGCCTGGGTTCTTTCTATGATTTTCCTTCTTATAAACTCTGGACTTTAAAGAAAAGGAAGCATTGACCATCCTTCCTGGACCCTTTAAGTACCTTAAGGTTATAGATTTTTCCCCATAGTGAAGTGTGTGTAACCAGAGATGACATTTGGCTCATACTTGTTAAAAGAGTAAACTATGTCTATAGTAAATTTTGACAAATATGCATTGTTCCCAGCCCTCTGAGTGCTTCTCACCAGTCCAACTCTCTCAGCTCTTCCCACAGGATTCCCCAGACGAGTCCCAAAAATTCAGTGCCTCACCAGCCACGCATGAACACGGCCCAGCCATGGCCGATTGCTCTGTGCTGCCTCATGACCATTGCTAAGTGCTCTCAGGGCCAAGCAATGGGAGCATAACAGGCAGGTTTTCTCATCTCAACTAGAACCCAGATGACCCTTGCCAAAAACCATTCTGTAAGTCTAAGGAAAGTTAAATAGCTCCATCATCACCTAGGTAGAGTCAAGAAGAAAAAGCATGCCAATAGCACAAACAAAGCAGCTCCTCCTTCACTGCAGTTGTCACAAAACCAAGTATGTATCACATGGGCCTTATGCCGTCTCTTTTCTAAACAACGCCTGTACGATGGGGAGTTTATAGAGCATGTAAAATTGAGAATTTACTAAAACAGTCTGTCCTTCTCTTTATCCCTGATTACCTTTACTGCTGACCCTTGGATGGCTCAGGCCATTTTCTTATTCTATTAGTCAGTGAAAAGACTAGAAAACATGAACTGAGATCAACTTGAGTTTAAATCTTAACACTCCAAAGTCCTAAATATGTAAATTTGGACAAGTCACATATCTCTTTGAGTGTCAGGAAACAATAATTAGTTCAAAAGTAGTTGCTGTGATTAAGTGGAGTAGTTTACGGGAAGGCTTTCTGCATAAATATGTAACTCTATACATATCCATTATTATGAGCACCTATCGTTCTGACTCACCCACATCAATGCATAGTAAATCTCTGCCTCCCTCAGCAGAGACCAGAAGTAGGTCATGTTCTCCGTGTACTAATAATTTTTTCTGCGACCACTGTGGCTACAGCTTCTGCTGATAATTTTTGTTGAGAGATACTCTTTTCACTGCTTTTAAACAACTCTCTAATCTTAAATCACTAGAGGACATTTTTCTCATCTAACTTGAATCCTGTCTGCTATAATTTCTGCTTTTAACCATAGCATCCTCAGAGCAAGGAGAATTCTCTCCTACTCTACTAGGTTGTAGTCAGATTCCAAAACTGTCTGTAGATTGTGGAGAAGGATTTAGGGAATAAACCACTAAAGAAGGGAAGAACAAAGGACAAAGAGCTGGAAATGGGAGCAGAGGTGTAAAGTAAGGCTTTGGGGCAATGTGAGCAAGAATTAATATAACCAGTGTGTGTGGAGAGGATGTTACATTAATAAGAAAATTGGAGGAAAAATATACACAGGTTGCAGACTTTCATCCCCATGAAGGATAGATTAAGTTATGGAATACAAACCGGCACCCAGAAAGATGGTGGCCAGATTCCAGAAGAAGCTTTTTATTAAGAAATAAATGAAAACTTGGAATGAAAAACTCTGAAAAAAAAATGTGTTAATGATAGAAGAATTTGATAGCTTAAACTACATAAATCCAGTGAGACTTGGGTGACCTCTATGTCCTACCAACAAAGAACTGGGGAGACTATGCCTCAAGCATTGTTCTTCTTCACTACGAGCTGTACAAAATAGGTACATCAGATCTAAGGCCACAAGGAGGGGAAGAGCACCTGTCCTATGCCACACAGTAGTCGGGGATAATAATCTCCAGCACCAACATGTTTCTTGCTCCTCTGCTGGCACAGGAGTATTCACTGAGCCGCTTCTATTGCAAAGCACGGTGCTGTGTCCTGTGATGGGTTCAAGGGAGAAGGTGCAAGGAGGGTCATGAAAACAGAGAGGTAGCTGTTTGCTTTCTTGTTGGATACGTGGTGGCATGTGTGATAGCTGCTAGAGATGGGTCAGAGAAAGGAGATGACCCGAGTAGGCCTTTACAGGGCAGATAGAATTCGTTTGGAAGGAAGATGGATGAAATTGGGTAAACTGAAGCAAGAATAAGATTCCAAGCGGTGCTGGGGGCCAATGAGCAATACCTAACTGGCTCCCTCTCACGTGGGTCCTTATCAGCCTCCCTTGTTCAGTCTCACCTCTTTCCTGGATCAGTGAAGCCTGCAAATCCAGGAACCCAAGATGTCTGTGTTAATCTAAAGGGCAATGTGCAAAGCGGGAAGTCACTCTGGAGACCACCACACCATCTCCTAATTTTTATGGTGAAAACTATTTAAATGCATATTCTTTTATAAGTACTATTCCCATACATATTTCAAACTCAGCTAAAACGTATAAAAATAGGTATAATGGCTGACACCTGTCATCCTAGCACTCTGGGAGGCCAAGGTGGATGGAGCTCAGCAGTTCAAGACCAACTTGGGCAAGAATGAGTCCTCATCTCTACTAAAAATAGAAAAATTAGCCAGACATTGTGGCAGGCACCTGTATTCCCCAGCTACTCAAGAGGCTGAGGCAGGATTGCTTGAACCCATGAGTTTGAGGTTGCTGTGAGCTAGGCTGACACCACAGCACTCTAGCCTGAGCAACAGAGTGACACTGTGTCTCAAAAAAAAAAAAAAAAAAAAAGATTAAAATAAAATAAAATGTATAAAAATAAATTCATAAACATTCATATTGAAGGTAAATTTACATAACATTGAATCCAACCAGTTCATTTCCTAAAGGATGAAACTGAGGCCCAGATTAAAAACCTATTGATTTGCCAAAAGTCAATTCACTGGACAAAAAGTTTGGAAAATACCCAGTCTTCTGATTTCTAGGCAGTGCTCTTCTCACTGCACTGAGGTCTATTGTGTTGGACGCCTGGGTTTCCATGAAGCTCACTCAAGGAAACATCTCCAAGCCTTTCTATTTCAGGAACCCCAGACCCACAAAACGGCTATCTTGACAGCGGTGTGCACCCGCCCTGCAGTTCTCTCTAACGTGCTCAGCCACCCATGTGATTGTCTGATAGTCATTTGCCGCTTCCTGCACATTTCCACAAAAAATACCCAGGCTCTTATCTCCCAGCAGTACAGCTTCCTTCCGTCACTACTAAGCAGACACTTCTACTTCTCCCTGCCTCCTAGTATTGCTGTACGTACAGTATTCCCACACAACACCGCACAAAAGGTCTTTACAACCCAAGTGTGACAGAGGTTGGGGAAAATTCATTTCTTCAATTCCCCAGTCTTGAAATCATAGTTGCCTTCTTTTTCGCTTTCTTTTTCCTTTTCCTTTTCCTTTTCCTTTTTCTTTTCGAGACAAGGTCTCACCCAGACTAGAATGCAGTGGTGTCATCATAGCTCACTGCAATCTTAAACTCCTAAGCTCAAGCCATCCTCCTGCCGGAGCCTCCCAGAATGCGGGGGTTACAGGGAGAGCCACTGTGCCAGATTCTGTTGTTGCTTTATCAAGTAAAGAAATTCTCACTCAGATTGCCCCCAAAATGGCTGTCCTTCTCGGTGAACTGCCCCTGTCTAGCCTGCTTGTTGCTATAACTATACCAGCCATTTATTTGCAAGCTTCCTTGGGACATCTCAAGCATGAAGGACTGTTTTTATCGTGCTTTTCCTTTAGGTATTTACATCAAGTAAAATGTCTGTACCTGACACATAGAGACAGCCAGCAAATAGGCACAGTCAAGAAACTATAGCTTCTGTTCTCAGTTATAGGAGTTTCTAGAGTAGAAACAAATCATAGAATAACTCTCTCTTTTCTCCCATTTTCAGCCCCAAACATTTTTACTTGGTTAGTAAGCAGGTGCTTACACGCTTATCACCACAGTCATCAGGCTGATCTCCCTCCATGCATCTGTCTCGGATGGCTCTGGAAGGCAGTGGGCTCCCAGGAGGAACAGTCACCTACTAGGCACTCATTGATTTAGAAATAAGCATTTGTTAAGGGATCTCAATTGTTAGGTTTTGTTTCAGGCCTTAGAAACACAGTGGTGAACATACCCAGGCAAAAACCTCTGTCCTCTTAGTGCTTACGTTCTCATCTTGTATAAACAATAAATTAGGTAAGTAAATAAAATATAAAGCATATTAGTGATAAGAACTTAGAAGAAAAAATCGAGCAGGGAAGAAGCTCAGTGAAAGGGATTCGGGCAGGCTGCAGAAGCCAGGCCTGGCTTCACGGAGGAAGTTGGGGAAGAGCTGGACATGGCTGGTGGAGTGTGGCAAAGACTGAAGGAGAGGAGGGGACGAGAGGAGGGAAGAATATCAGGACACCTGAGGCTAGAAAGGAGGTAAGCGTTTGCAAGGGATGGAGAGGAGGTTAGCTGACATGGCTATGACACAGGTTCAAAGTCGTGGGAGGAATATAAATAGATCACACCACAGAGGATGGTGAAACTCTCTCCATCTCAATTAGTGAGATTCTAGCGCTGTTCTGGGCATTACAGGGATCCCGCTCTACGACGGCATATCCAGAAGGCTGTAGTACTAAAAAGCATCACATTTAGGGCTGTAATGTCCTCACTGGCAAACTGAGACCACAGAAAGTGACTGAATTTTCCAAGGTTAGACCATTAGTAAGGGACAGAGTCAACTGTAGAAATCAGATATTCTCCCTTCCATCCTCCCTTTCTCCCTTCCTCTCTCCTTCTCCTCCGTCCTTTCTTCCTCTGAGTTCTCCTGCCCTCCTGCCCTCCTGCCCTCCTGCCATCTGGCCTTCCTTTTGGTTCTCCTAATCACCAGAAATGCTCTCGTGAGGTGAAGATTCCTTGAGATTTAGTTGTAGTCTATTTCCCTTGGGAATTAAAGACACTAGGCAAGTCGGTCTTGGGTATTTTCTTCTCTGTGCTGACCAGCACTAACCTATTAAATAGGAGCACAGGACCAGGACAACAAACATCAAGGCACCGTAGCTGCTTCTCCTAAACTGTTTCTAGTGGCAGCTGCATCCCCTCTTTATGCTGTCACAAGGGCTCTACCCAAAGGACAGTAAGTCGTTCTGCTACCCCTCTTTGCGACTTCTTTATGACACAAGCTTAATTCAGTGATTTAATTCTCCAGAAGGGAACAGGCAGTGAACAAAGGGCCAGGTCCCAGGGTTAACAAGCAAAGTCTCATAATGTTAACTGCTGTCTCACCTGGGAGAAAAATATGTCTCCGACTGTGCCTAAAGCACAAGAATTCAGACCAGGCAACAGTAAATACGTATTGCTTTCTGGGATGTTTTGTCTGAGGCAAGCAGAGGCATCTAAAACAATTTTATTGCCCTAGGAAGGCATTTTATGTTCAGGATGTTCTTTTTAAAAATAGCTATTTTAGTGCCTAAATTGTTGCCTGCCTCACTAATGGTTTTGTTTTTAAGTGTTGGAAGAAGAGAAGCCTCTGGAAACTGACACTTTCTTCTTTATTTTCCTTTTATGTTCCCTTACTCCAACACTTAAAAGTGTCGCTCTGAAGATGAAGTCTTTTATGGCAGCTCGAGGGAGTGGAGGGACAAGACAGAGTCCTGGTCCCACTGCTGCTTACTCAGTGTGCAGCGGGGTGGGGGTGACGGGCAGAAAAGAGGCAGCAGGACAGAGCATGAGCAAGGAGCACACGTTATCCTTCACCTTTTAAAGCTCTGTCTGGACAATTGAATTATTCCTCCCCTCTTTGCACCTCTTTGAATATGTGCCTGGTATGTGCCTGGTATGTGCCTAGTACCATTATCATGTACCTTTTGGAAGAATACTGAGTGTTGTTTAAGTAGTTGTAAATGAAATGTAAACTATAGGATCAGCGGTTGCATTGTTGAAGTGAGGAATTAACTCCAAGTTATATAAAAACACAAGTTCACAAATCACAAAGGATCATAGGTGCTAACTGCTAATTGCTCACGGCAGTTACTCCTTATTTTTAGAATACCACAAGTTTTTTCCCTGAGAAATTCTATGTGGATCCCTAATGCGTAAAACAGGAAACAAAGCAAATCAAGACAAAAACCAAACAAACGAACCTAACATCACGTAACTGATGGGTCATCCTGATTGTGGGACCTCAGAAAGGCTGGATAACTGCTTGAGACCCTAAACCTTTGCATATTATCTTGTTGAGGATAAAATAAAGTAAATTTCATCAATTATGAAGACATTGTAGTCACAATGAAAGATTCTGGGAGAGAAAATCCTTGAGCATTAAAGAGAAATGTTTTCTAATATAACATTTCAGCGACCATGAGAAGTAGAGATTCTTTAAATCAGAACAGCTTGCTCAGTGCCCCTTAAAGCATGTTATATTTGAAGCTTTTGGACTTACTGATTACTGATTTTAAAGACTTTCCTTGGTATTTTGACTTTTCAGAGCATCCTTCCTTTGAGGGAGTAGCAGGGGGGCAGGTGGGAGATGGGCTGGGTGTCTCCTCCTTGCTCCAGAGTGGAAGGTCAAGCTCCTGTGTGCCAGGACAAGAATATTCTGTGGGGGTGGGGTGGGGGGTGCAGCCCTGAGCATGGTGGTTCTGAGCAGAAGATGAAGGAGACGCAATCATTTTGTTTCAACCCTCAGAACAGCATTACTCCAGGAGGCCCTGAAGTCTGAGCCAGGGCCATGGAGGGGTCTGTGCTCAGCCCCACATCCTGGGAGAAACGGCGGGCCTGGCTCCGTCAGAGCCGGAACTGGCAGACCCAGGTCCTGGAGGAGGAGGCTGCAGCCGCCTTGCAGGATGTCACCGATCCTGAGCCTTCCAGCTTGGATGATGTTTTCCAAGAAGGTAAGAGACCCTTAGGCATCAAATGGATGTCTGCATCATCTTGTGAGACAGTGGGACAGCAGGCACAGGTCTGCAGAGAGTGGACAGAGGGACCTTCGTTTAGGGCGGGCTCTCGGTGAGGCTAAAATGCATTTACTGGGAGACACGAAAGTAATGCAAGATATGAACTATGTGAGAAAGAGAAAGGCCTAGGATTAACACAAAGAAAGGGATGTGTTTTTGCACCATCCGGAGAAGCTTCTATGAGAACCTTAGGCTAGGGACTGACTCTCTTTGAATGCTTCAGGGCGTTTCTATTCTGTCTTATCAAAAGACCGTTCTCAAGCCTGATGCCTGGACTTTGGCCACAACGCTGTCACTTAAAAGCCACATGATCTTTGAGAAGTCACTTGCCTCTCCAAGATGCACTCGTGCAGTTGGAGGGGAGGAAACTTCCCTACACTCTCCTCAGAGCTTCTTTCAAGTTCAAATGAGACCTAGGACACAGGAGTAAAACAAAAATTCTAATAGAAATAAATCCATCCTTGCTTTTTCAGTAGGTATCAAAAAGCACAAACACAAGATTGTGCTTTTTTTTTTTTTTAAGGAGTATCTATCCCATCCTCAAAACTTAGAGAAGAGAGCAAGGGCCTGATACTTTCCAGGGTTCTGGGAGGAAGGGGGAGGGGAGGCAGAGAGAGAAGAAATAGCTACTCTTCTTATATGTGGTTATATTGCTCTTAAGGAAAAGCCTTATGAGGGAAGACAGGTGCATAGGGCACCTTATATAAACAACACCTCTGTTATAGGGAGGCAGTCTGGTTTCCTTCAGTTCTCATGGTGATCTGGTGTCTGACTTTTCTAGGGAATCCAATCAATAAGATTGAAGACTGGCTCCAGGACTGTGGGTAAGTGCAGGACAATGGGATTGGGTGTGGTTGATGGATACACTAACAGGCACAGATCCTGAGAATTCAGATTCAGAGATCCAGGGAACCAGGCTTGAATTGGGTCTAAAGATTAGAAATGAGTCCAGGCACAGTGGCTTACATCTATAATCCTAGCACTCTTGGAGACCAAGGCAGGGGGATCACTTGAGCTCAGGAGTTCAATACCAACCTAAGCAAGAGCAAGATCCTGGCTCTACTAAAAATAGAAAAATTAGCCAGGCATTGTGATGGGCACCTGCAGTGCCAGCTACTTGAGAGGCCAAGCCGGGAGGATCGCCAGAACCCAGGAGACTGAGGATGCTATGAGCTAAGCTGAAACCATGGCACTCTAACCTAGGCAAGACTGAAACTGTCTCAAAAAACAAAAACAAAAAACCTGATTAGAAGTCAGGTCGAGATGGTAGTTGGCAGGGGCATTGGAGGTGTCTGGGGTGGGCTGGTAATCAGAGTTGTGAATCAAGTGCAAGTTGGAGCTCAGGCTAAGTCAGACTGGAGGTCTGCAAATACAGGCACTATCTGGTCTGAATCTAAGGGGCGGAAATCCACATCTGTGGGAATGGCTGGGCTCAGTTCCAGATACCATCTATCTGCTGCTTTCTCCTCTGTACTAGAGTCTTTCTTATGTCCTGTACAAAAGAAGAGGAGTTCAAAACCTGACCACCCTAGAAGTGCATTAATGTACATAGTTACCGTTCAATAAAAAAAAAAAGAAAAAAAAAAAAACCTGACCATTCTTACTGAAGTGTGATTCATCACTGGGTTTGTTTCTACTAAGAACCCATGTGGGGCTCAGGGTTTATCAGTCATTCCAGGCAGTGGAGGACTGGAGCAGGTACTCCAAGGAACAGTGTTATCTCTCTCCTCAGAAACACTTTGCGCTATGAGACCCCACATCGCCAGCCTATGCCATTTTAGGCTCAGTCTTCCCAGACACAAAGGGAAGGTTTCTGTGGCCTAGTTAAGTCTAATTGTTTGTGTAATAATGAATTCTCAGAATGTATAGCTCCTGCCTGCTCCTTATTTTCCCTCCAGGAATGTCTCAAGCTTTATATAGTCTTTAATCTAAACTCATTTATTAACTGATGTAAATAAGCCCATCCTTGCTTATTTGGTGGGGGATAAATAGCACTGAATAATACAAGTTCATTTATTTCAACTCTGCCCAGGAAGGCAATGCCAGGAAGGATTGATTTTGTGTTTGTTCCCATTGTTTACAAAACATATTGTCCTAATTTTATTCACAATTCATTGACTTCAAAGTCAATAGAAGGTACTCAAAATACAGAAAGAAAAGGTTGGAGGTAACAGAAATATTTGCAGGTTTTGGTAAGAAACCTAATCTGAGAACCTTCCTAGAATTTAAAATGCTTCACCAGACATGAAAAGGAGAAAGATTGGCTCAGTTAATGTCTTTATCTCATTGATCACTCCAGAGTCTTACCAATTCACATCAACAATTACTAATTGTGCACTTGCTGTTTAGAAAGATGCCAAGTAGTTTAAAATATGCTTCTTGACTGCAAACATACAACATTCTAGTGGAAAAGAATAAATTCACAGATGAAATGTTTCAGCAGCAGCACCCAGAGACAAGACCAGAGCTAAGATATCAGGCCAGGTTTATTGAAAGGGACTGTGACCAGCCTGAACAGTGCTAAGAGGGCATCAGTGCCCAGAGGCAGTTAGAGATCCCTTTTATGTGGGGCTGGGGGGGGTGGGAGGACAACTTCCATAGCTTGTCCAGAGGGCATTGATGAGTTAGGGTCCTTTGGGATGAACTTTGGGGGGGTGGGGCTAATTAGATTCTTTGTGTCTTTTGTCTTTAGGAGGAGAGAGGGAGAAGAGAAGGTGGGGTTCATGTAGGGCTGTGTTAGACCCCTCAACATTCCCAACTTTCATTAAAAGGGGTGATGAGGACAACAGTCAGTCTTCTGAAACTCCTTCTAGCTGAACAGGGTCATAGTTGTCCTCAGGAGAATGAGTCAGGTGCTGGGAGAGCTGTGCAGGTTTGGAATACATAGGGGGAAGGTTTGGGAAGTACTAGAAATTGGGTGGCAACTTCAGCTGACATCCTTTTTAGCCCATCTTGAATAAATAAGGACAGGAACTGGGTGATACAAGGATGAGTGAACGTACCCAGAGATGAGCCTGAAGCCCTTATGTTCAGGCCAGATTTACTGAAAGGGGAGTGACCCGCCTGAGCAGCGCTAAGCTGGTGTCTGCCTCTGGGGATGACCCTTTTTATGTGGGGCCATAGAGGGTGGACAGATTTCACAGCTTGCCCAGAGGACCTTGATGAGTTAGGATCTTTGACATAAATGAGGGGTGGGGCTAACTAGGTCCTTTGTGTCTTTGTCTTAGGAGGAAAGGAGGAGGGGGAGGAGAAAGAGGAGGAGGAGAAAAGAGTTTGTGCGAGGCTGCAGTAGGCCCCCCAACAATAGAAATATAAGATTATAATCTCTAGAAATCACCTTTCCCTTCCATGCTCTGGATTGAAACTTATGCTGAAAAGTTGGTAGAGTGAGTGGAAAGATCCAAGATTTGAGCCTAACTACAAGCAAATAATTGAAATTCTTTCCATCATAGACTCCTGATCTATAAAGCAGAAGACTAGAATAATAAAGCTTCCAAATGTCTTGTGAAGTTGAAATGAGATGATATATGAGCACGTGCATGATGCTCTGTAACAATGTGTGCGTAGTAAGGTTTGTAAGGGAGTTTTATGCCTACTTACAATTATACAAAATAAGTCGACCTATCTACCTATCTACTTTATTTATCAGAAGAAAACGTAAGCCCAGAAATGATACACACCAGCTCTTGGATAGTGGTTACCTCTAGGGTTGAAAATGGTAGGAAAGAATGTTGTCAAAGCTCCAAGGGGGTTGGGGGGGGCCTCAGTCTCTGTCCAGTTGCTCATCCCATAAAGATTCAATTATTGAGAACAAAGATTGCCAAGGAAGAAAGGAATTTTTAATACAACAAATGTCTCATCTTTGGGAGAAAACAAGCCTGGCTGCCTCAAATAGAGTTGTATCTCTAAGTAAGGAAGATCAAGGCCTTTTAAAGGAGAGGTCATGTGCCTTGTGGTATAATTAACAAGGATTTATGTGCACTGGGGGCATGTTATAGGGAATGGTGAATCTAGATTGGTTTAAGAATTCTTCTTAGGGGAGTTCAGAATCTCATGTCCTTTATCTTGCAGAAAATCCACCATTTCTTAGAAACAACTCAAAAGTTCAAATAGATAAGAGAGAGTATTATAAGAAATATAGAGGGGTCTTTGAAACTTGTTCATGGGGCCATTTACAAGAATGTGAGTAAAATAAGACTTTAGTTTTATCTTTAATGTTTTATTTATTTATTATTTTATATTACCTATTCTTTAATACTTTATTTCTTTATGAAGAAAATATGGCAAAATGTTTACATATTAAAATAAAGTGATAGGTTCAAGGCATCTGCTATAACTTTACTCACCTGTGTCTTGAAAAAAGTTCCAAGTATTTAAACTTTTTAAAAGGTCATTAGAAACTTTATGAACATGCTTGCATTTGTCTTTGGAAAGGGAATTGTTAGATTAAGAAAATATTTCCTATTTTCTAATTCTCTCTAATAAATATCTAATACTTTTTGATGACATGGGGAAACCAGAAAAAAGTTAAAGGATAATGATGGTGATTGACAACAGAATACACTTGACTTTTGACAACAGATAATGAATAAGATAGAAGACGACAATGCATTCTAAGTATGACATGCTGAGTTATCCCAGTCCTTGATTCTTAGCCTATCAGGAGCACAGAGTAAAGAAAATGAATGAAGAATCCACACTTACTGGTTAGCAGTCCACTTGTTGCCAGGTGCCCCAAGAGGCACTTTTTAAATTTCATTTAAAGACTATACAGTTTTCATTTTCTTTATATCAAATACCTTCTAGCAGCAAGAAGGTTTTCTTTAAAAAGAAAAGAAGAAGAAGGCTGTTTTTTTCTGACAAGATCTCTGAGAAAGTCCCCTGACATCTGGGGCAATTCAATGTTAGTATCTCTCAGTGTCTATTCTGTGGGAGGCTTGATGATGTACGACTTTACAAACTGTGGCTGTCCTGTTTCCTTTCTCCTCTTACTCTCTCAGGGGATTTTCTGGGACATGAATACGTTGCTCCTAAGCCATCAAAGGTAATGACTTGGTAGCCCTAATGTCGTCTATGTGGACTTTACCGTAAACATCTACAGGCAGCCTTCAGTGGGAAACGCTAGAAGTACCTAAAAGTCGCCACACGCTGCTTCTCACAATCACCCCCCCACCCACACACACACACACACTATCTATAACTTGAGTATACAGGAGAAACAACACCTTAGCTCCTTTGTTTCAGATTCAAAATGATGCTTGGGGCCCTGTCAGTGTAAGAGTGGACAGAGGGAACACCCGATCTAGTTCCTAGTCATGGAGTTTGTGGCCGATGCAATAACCTGGGAAAGGCCTGGGACTTGGGTGACAATCGTGAGGTGTCAGATGTTCATGCCCAGTGAGAGGACATCAGCAGATGTGTCCGTCCTGCTGCAGTAGCTCCCGCATACCCATAGAAATACCTACCACCCCAAGGCTCATCCTGGACCAGTCTTCAAAAAAGAAAATAGAAGTACCTAGTAAGGCACAACCAGAGAAGAAAAATGTAGAAGGACCACCCAATAAAAATTTGTATCTAGTTAATTGCAATGAGTTTGTTTTACTTTGGACAAATCAGGAATTTTATCGGTGATGTTTTTAATGTAAATTTTATTTTAGTATAGCATACACATTGGCAGCATTTTCCCTTTCAAAATAAATTGTATTTAAGCATAAAATGCTTGCTGAAAAATAAATGAGTATTAAACACAAAGCTCAATAAATTTTCACAAAGGGTAAACCCATGAAACTGAAAGAGGTCATTACCAGTGCTCCAAACTCCGCCTCTCTGGGCCCATCCATTCACTACTCTGCTTCCCGGGGAAACCAAAACCTGACTCGTAGCATCATAGCTAAGTTTGGGAATTTTGAGGAGAGCTTTATAGACACAGACGCGTACATACAGAGTGTTTTACGTGTGTTTCTTTTGCTTAGTGTCATGTGTGTGATGATCGTCTGCATACTTGCATGTAGCAGGCCATTCTTTTTTATTGTCATATAGTATTAAATTGCATAATTACCATACCATTTTTCCATTTTACAGTACATAGAGATTTAGGGATGGTTTTCTATATCTGGGTTATCATAATCAGCATGTCTTCTAGGGATCATCTATTGGCATTGGGTACTACCTAGAAGTGGATTCGTGGTGTGTTTTAGCAGTATTTCTAGTCACAGCAGTCCTTACTAGTTCCTTTGCGGGGTAGCAGCACAAGCATTAAGTGCAATACTCAATCCCAAATTTCTAGTATTTGACTGTATTAGTTATAGTATTTGCATCAGCAATAATAAATATTAATTTATACTAATATTTTTATAATATATATAAACACATGATCCTAGTAGTATAACACATTTTAATATAATTATATATTATAACCGAGATATACATTTGTAGTTATAGTTGTATTATCAGAGTTACCTGTTCTCAATAAACCTTGATGTACCATCTTGGTTTTTTGGTTTTTGGTTTTTGTTTGTTTTTTTTTTTTTTTTTTTTGGTTTTTTGTTTTTAATAAGAGGAAAGGCTTTATTCACCAGCCAGGAGCTTATGGCGTAGAAGAAATCCAAATGGCCGCGCTCCCCAACTGGCTTGATCTTTCCCTTTTTATCGACAGTCAAAAAGTTCCACCCCAGAAGTGCCGTCTTGTTTTTATCAAGACATATCAAAATTTAAATTTTGGAAAACACGGTTGATTTTTTACACTATTGAAAGGAAGTTACCAGCAAAAGCTGTCTATACATGTAATCATTTATTTTGTTAAAATTTCAACACAACTTTATCTATAGATGTTCAATTAGTAAGCCCACTCCCGTTGCTAAACATTCCATGAAGTAACATTCTAGTAGCCTGAGAATTATCTGAATCTCGGAGACTGACAAAGGAGAAGGCTCCTGTGGGCGTAGCACCAAGAGATTCCTGCAGTTTCCTTGGGAACTCACTTTACCACCCTGTCTCCCCTCCAGCCTCTACGTGAGGTTGCATTTAAAGCATCATGTACAACTTCCACTTAAAAACTTTTAGTAAAGTAAACACTACAAAATTCACAGCATGCTCAAAGTGGACTCAGATAATGATAATATCTTGGGATCCAAATCTTTTTCCATAATACTTGAGAACTAAGAGTCACTGTTAGCCAGGACTGAAATGTAGATATCCCGGTCCCCATGGAAAGCTTTTTCACAGAATACTTGATGTACTTGTTTTGGACGCGAAACTTTATTCCTTTTTTAAAAACTGTGTTGTCTCTCACTACCATTTATGCTGATTTCCGTTTGTTCTGGTGGAGATGGTAAATGTTTGATAAGACCATATCTCAAAATGTAAGACTATCTCTAACAAGAATGCAATTTCTGCTGCTTCCTAAAAGACATGATATTAAGCAAGAATATGATTCGAGAAGAAAGGAGATGTGGGTAGATAAGGTGACCTCCTAAAAATTGTAAGAAAACTTAAATGTTTCAAAATGATGACACCCATATGCCTGTTTCTATAAATGTCTTTCCCCAGTTGTGCTTCTGTGTTCTTTCTTTTCAGCTTTGCATAAAGACTAAAGAATCATTGCTAAGCTGGCTTTAGAAGAAGTGTCCAGGATGGCAGCAGCACAATTTAAAATGTAGCACATTCCATTCCCAACTCCCCTGGTGATTTCTACCAATTTATCTGTGAAGTAACCACTCTCTTAGTTTTCTCCAGTATTAATGTGAGCAAATTAAATACTACTGACTTGCATTGGAAAATGATAAGAACATGTGGTAGATATCTGATGAAACCCCCCTTGGAAAATTTCATGATCTATAAAATAATCTATAAAATTGTCTTGGGGTTTTAGATATTCTGAAGAAGGACTCTCTGAGGAAGCAGGACGGTCAATCTATAATGGTGAGTAGAGGTTCTAGAACGATACAGCTGTGTGTGTGTAAGAGTTATGCACCTGCATGAGAATATGCATGCATCATATCATGCTTGAGTGCTTTGAAACTGTCTGCAAAACACACTTTAGTGGTCAAAGGCTGCCCAGAAAGTCCAGAAGGAAAGTGCTGGCTCAGAGCTCACAGGCTCACAAATACTCCAAAGGTTACCTTCCGCTAGGGGCTGCTCGGCTAACGGCCACTGCTATGAGAACAGAACATTTTCAAATGTTTGGTTTATGTGTGTGAGTACACCCCCCACCATGTGTTCACTATTTGGCAGGGATTTTATACATGACTGGGTGACATGGAGCATGGGGCAGGTTGGCTATTGGTGAGTGTGATATATGTGTGATTCTGAAAACATGAATGTGATTTCTGAGGCAGTGTCTAGTTGGGGGTAGTTTTGCAAACCTGGATATCTAGTATGATTATGTGGCTGTTCAAGGTCATGTGTAGATGTTCATGTTTGCAGGGGTGTGTATGTGTAGGTGTGTGTGTTCCACTCTGATTTTCTGTGATTTTCACCTGATTATTTGACAGACTGCTCCAGCCATGGGACCAGCTTTGACGATGACTTGACCCTCGGAGCAGAGGGTAAGCAGCACAGCTCTCTGAGGCTGGGTTGAGGGACGGGGCTGTGCATTTGATAAATTAAGATAGGATGAAAAAGGGAAACTTTAAAAAGAAACAGCCCAGCCCCGGGATCTTATCTACAGGGAAAGAGGAGTCTCATTACAATCTAATATAAAACACAGAAAGCATCACATGCCTAGAAACGTGTTCTCAACAACCTGCAGTGACCCATGATTCACCATTGGAATTTTCCTTAAGCCCCTGGGAAGATGGTAATGTATAAAATCACCGTAACATCTTCTGCCCAGACATCTTTGAGGCTGTTTTCTGTATAGAATGCCCAAAGAAGTCGGAGTACCGGGTGTAAGAGAGAAGGACCAAACAGCAGGTAGATAAGGGCTTCAATAAGGATAAAGGCCCAGTGACCCACCAGTGTCTCCTGGGGCTGTAAAGACCGTGGTATGACAGGAGCACAGCCTGAGGGGCGGAATGACTCTACCCTTTCAGGATGGAGGAGCTCTTACTGGGTCAAAAGTTCAGAGCTCAAGGCCAGTTGTTCTCTGTCATGTCTGTCCCTACTCCTGGGCTGTGCTTGCTAATCCTGAAACCCCAATTAAGAGCAGAATTCGTGGGGAGTTCAGATAGCCTATGGCAGTGGCAGAATAAATAAGAGTAGGCTGAGTTTTCAGTTCAGAGGAACAAGTCCGGTGATTTTCATTTCTCTTCTAACTTCGACTTTTTCTTTCTATTCCTCATCCAGCCACACTGCTGGCTACCAATGGCAAACTCTTCTCCAGGTAAGTGTTAGGTTCAGCCAGGCTGAATGATGTCTCCTTTCAGAGTGAAGTGGGGTAGTTTTCAGAGCTAAAGAGATGAAAAACAAAGAGCTAAAGACTCACAATAGTGAAATTTTCCAACCAGTAATGAGGGCATAGACCAACGGTTCTCAACCTGGGGGCTGTGACCCCTTTGTAACAACAAAAATATATTGTGGCATTAGGAAGGTTGAGAACCACTGGCATAGACTGTGTTTCCTCTGTAGGTGGTTCAAAGGTACCAGTAGAGGGTGAATAAGCCCAGCAGGGATTCCCTGAAGCGAGGGTGCAGACTGGGGAAAGATTTGTATGACACCTGCTTTGATCTCTACAGGAATTTCCTGGAGACAGCAAGGCCTTGTCAGCTACTTGATCTTGGCTGTAGTTTGGCTTCTAGCAGCATGACTGGGGGAACCAACAAGACTAGTTCAAGGTAGGTGCTGATTTTGGCTGTGTGGGAGGGTGAGGAAGGTGAGAAACAAAGGAAAGTGGAACTGTGAGCTGGTGATGTGTTCCTATAGTGTCCCTGCTACCTGGGAGGCTGAGGCAGGAGGACGTCCTTAGCCTAGGAGTTCAAGGCTATGGGGCACTATGATCATGCCTGTGAATAGCCAGTGAACTCAAGGCTGGACAACATATCTCTAAAAGAAGAAGAAGGAGGAAGAGTGGAGGACATAGACGAATTCTCTCTAAGCTGAATGCTATATGTAAAACATAAGTATCTCCTTCCACTGGACCTTGTACCCAAGAGGTGTGGTACTTGGTTCCATCACAGTTCTTGGGTTCACAGTATGTGCTCAACAAATAATGTGTTAATAAGTTGACTAATTTGTTGAATGAAGCAATAAAATATTAATTCATCAGACAATTTTATATTCCCTATGCAAGCCAGACAATGTCTCCATGGAATTTGAAAAGATGAAGCAGAAAAATAGGTTCCTCCCAGGAGCTCAAAAATTCAGTAGTGTGGACTACTGGCAATCAGCTGGCAAGTAGCAGTGCACCTGTCAGAAGTCATATTTCTTTGCATATGCAAATAACTTTAAAAGAAAATAAAAAGTGGTGAAAACTAATGTGGTATATCAAAAAGGATCTAAAATTTGGAGTCAAAATTTGAATTTGAGACCTGGTTCTGAAACTTAAATTTTGTCACATGACTATGTTTACTAACCTATCCTCACTGAGCCTCAACCCTAGCCACACCTCCAGCTCAATTAAACCAGAATGTCTGGAGATGAAATTCAGATATCTGCATTTTTAAAAGTCCCCCAAGTCCTATTCGGACATGCAACCATGGTTGAGAACCACTGAGCCAGTCTTATGCCCACAATTCACAGACGGGAAAACTCAGGACTGTGGAGATAAAATGGGCACCCAACTGGCAAACACAAGAAACAGATGTGTTTCTTGGCTGCCCAACCATTAATTAAACAAGATGGTTCCTGTTTCGAAGAAAAAGCCAGGCATTTTTTCTGAAAAGCATGATTATCCAACGTCTCAAATAATCCACAGTTTCCCTTAGCTCCTCTTTAAAATGAGATACTAAACTCTAGGGTCACCCAGCTTGGTGGTACTCAGATCCAGACATAGATACAGGTTGGTGCTATCCTGAGAGAGAGAAAGAGAGAAAACGCAACCTTCTGTGACACTGGACTTCTGTCCTGAAAATAACGCTATAAAGAGGTATACCTGTCAAAACCAGATTTTGAATGTACTTGTTGATTCATTTTTACCTTTAGGGAGAGAATAACAATTTTTATCTTCAGGGTTCTCTGTTCCTTACACAGTCACTGCCTCATTGACCTGCACAAGCACAAGTCAGCTGGCAAGTGGCAATACACCCGTCAGATGCCAGATACATCACAGCAAATGCATGTGGGCACCGAGTAGTTAATAATGCAATCACAAAATTTATTTGCATCTGTACTGCTTTTCATCTTTCAAAGCACTTTTATATTTACTTAAATTTTAATTCATTGGCAGTAAGTTATTCAAAGTACTTTGCTACAATTTTATTCAATTTTTATGACTCAGGCTGGATTGTAATTCCCATGTTTCAGAGAATTTAGGTTCAAAGAAGTGAAAGCTTTTCTCAAAAACTTCACAGTGGAAGGTAGAGAAATGGCCAGAAAGGAATTTCAAGGTCTCGATAGTCTGAGTAGATATTCTGTAATACCATATGTCTCAAAGTCACCTATCCATGGAAACTTCCTCTTTGCAGGATCTCGGGGATGACAGTCTGAGTAGATATTCTGTAATACCATATTTCTCAAAGTTGTCACCTATCCATGGAAACTCCCTCTTTTCAGCATCTCAGAGATTCTGGACAAGGTGCAAGAAGACGCAGAAGACGTCCTCTTCAGTCTGGGCTTTGGCCAAGAGGACCACAAAGACACTTCTCGGATCCCTGCCCGATTTTTCACCACCCCTTCTCAGGCCAAGGGCATAGATTTCCAGCTCTTCCTGAAGGCTCAGGTGCGGAGGATTGAGATGGAGGACCCCTGTCTCATGCTGGCCAGTGAGTGTTCCAACAGACATCCCCTCCCTTCTCCCACAGCTCTGGACTTTCACAATGGGGTTCAATGGCTGCCCATCCCACTTTCTCTCAGTAGCATCACTTCACCCATTGTCCCTTGTGTCTATTTCCTCCTACATTGTCTTCAATGAAGATAGAAAACTCTGGTGTCTGCTTATTTCTCTTGAAGAAACAGCCTTCAAGAAGCCTCAGACCTATTACTTTCTTTAGGCCTTCTCCCCTTTAGCTGAATCAAATCAGCACACTGTCTTTAAATCTTATCCCTGTTTTCTATTTCCAAGTTGGAATATCTACTCAGGATGGGGAGTGAAGAAGTCGAGAAAGTCAAGAGAGGGGTGCCTGGTGTCAGAAGTCTAAATGGGAGAAATACTAGTGGGGAAATGGGCCACTTTTCTCTGAATTTTTGAGCTTTGGGGAGACTTCTGAAGGGGGAAATCTAAAAGATAATTTTCTAATGAGCCCCAGACTCACCATCTTCAACCCTTGTACCCAGGCAGGTTTAAGCAGGTACAGACACTGGCTGTCACTGCCGATGCCTTCTTCTGTCTCTACTCCTATGTGTCAAAGACACCTGTCCAAAAGTTCACACCATCCCACATGTTCTGGAATTGCAACCCAACTGATGTGCCATCCATCAAGATTCTAGCCCCAGAGCCTGAACCTTTCTCACCCAGAGAGCGTCTCCGGAAAGCCATCTCTAAGATGTGCCTGTACACATGCCCCCGAGGTCAGTCATCACCACCCTCCAACACTCCCCAAAGGAACAGTTTGGACCAAGTGGTATGGGAAGTAATGGACCGAGTGAGAGGTGAGAAGCTGGGCCTCCAGCAAGACTCTGAGTTTGGGCAAAGCAAACAAGAAGACCCTGTGCCCCCTATTGGGGGAACAAGGCTGCCCACTTCTCCCTGTCCATGTGTCCTCTGCTCCAAAGAGGAAACACAGAAGGGGATGTCCACAGTGCTAACGTCAACACAAACCCTGGATTTTAACTCCAAGATACCCTGTTACATACATTCTCTGCCCAGAACAGATCCACAGTGGACCACAGACCCTGCGCAGGTGAGGAGAGAGCTGTGGACTCTACAGGACACCAATAAGGAAGCCCATTCAACCAAGGATGAGACTTTCTGGAAAAGAAAGAGCAAAGCAAGGAAGAGCCTGTTTCAAAAGAATCCCCTGGCCAGGAAAATTAAGTCATTGGACTTGCCCTTCACCTGGCAGGACTGGAAGCAGAGCATAGACAGACAGGAACTGCATCAGTCTTTAACCCAACAGCTGCAGGACACTTTTGACTTGGAGGAGGAGGTAAGTGGGTTGGAAGTGACAGAAAGACTAGCAGAAAAAAGCTGTAGATTCTCGCCCAGAGGATGAAGAGCTAGGACCACTGGGCAAAGAAATCTAGGTTCCTTGTCCTCACAAGATATGTCACTTTTTGAAATAAATTCAAAAAGTATTGGTAGTGGATTAATACAGAGGCAGAAAGAGATCTGAGCCTACTTTCTTGAAAGCAGCCAGGTTTTCAGAGCTGCTTTTGTAATTCTTATCTGATCTGTTCTCCATTGAGTGTTCTCATTAAGCACACCTGCCCTTACTATTTGCAGGAGTCCTCAAAAGAGTGCAAATGGAGGTCAGTTTTGCAGACGGCTAAAGGCTGTTAAATAAAATATTTTCTTTAACCTTGACAGAGACGTAATCTTAAAGACCTAGAAGTCCAGGTTCCATGTAGAATTCTCAGATGCTGAGGACTTCTGTGTTAAAACATGGCAGTGTGAGCAGAGCCACTCCCCAGTTTCTGGCCTGTCTTTTTCTGTTCCCACGCCCAGATCTGTCCTATGACATAAGGAAACTTACAACCCACATGTGGGTACCCCAGCCTATGTATCCAAATATCACAAGTTCCTACCCACACAAACAGCCATCCATCAGTCATCACTCAGGCCCATAGCCGTGTACACTAGTGCCTCCACTGGTCTCATCCCTCAAGAGAACATACATCAGACAAAAACAGTGCAAGTCCCTGCAACAGACTTGGAGGCCATTTGACCAGCAGATTTTTTTTTGATTCTGGGTGACAGAACATATCCCAGATGGGACAGTGCAGCATCTAATGGGGTACATCCTCTGAGTCCACCAGCTCTTTACTTTGTGGACCCTATAAAACTCAAAACTCCTCACGCCTGGGTGTATAAAAGGTAGTCTATTAAGTGTTAGTATCTCTTGAATAAGCTTTCAAATCCTTGCCACAGACCAGACGTGGTGGCTCCATCTCTACTAAAAATGGAAAAATTAGCCAGGCATTGTGGTGGGTGCCTGTAATCACAGCTACTCTGGAGGCTGAGGCAAGGAGATCACTTGAGCTCAGGAGTTTGAGGTTGCTGTAAACTAGGCTGATGCCATGGCCCTCTAGCCTAGGCATCAGAGTGAGACTCTGTCTCAAAAATAAAAAATCCTTACCACAAGGAGATGTGATTATTTGTAGTCAATTGCATGTGTGTCACTTGTCATTGAATATAGAGCTTCCTGTCTTTCTGCTGGGTCCCTAACACAATAGAAGAGGCCAAGTCCTCCAAGTGTCCCCCTTCCCCTACACCACGTGCCTTTCCTTGCCCCATTCCACACCAGTGCTGACTGTTCTGTGGGATCTTGTTACAGGTGCGAAGCAGCAGTGAAGAGGAGCAGAGCCTCTGGTCCAGCAGACCCAGACAGCCCTGCTGCTGCCAGACTCTTGCTAGTCAAGATTTATGAAGTAAGTGGGCCTGTCTCTCAGGCAGTTCTTCTCGAAACTGCACATTATAATTACCTGGGGAGAATTTTTTTAAATACCCATGATAAAGGGTACCACATCCTGTGATTCTGATTTATTTGGTATGGCTGAATTTTTTTAAGTTACCCCAGGTAATTCTATCAATATTGCAGCTGGGAAATACTTCTTCAGATGACTGGTGCTCAGGCATGCATCACAATCATGTGGAGGGCTTGTCAAAATACAAATGACTCTCAGAGTTTCTGATTGAGTAGGTCTGGATAAGGCCCAAGAATTTGCAGTTCTAACAAGTTTCCAGTTGATGCTGATGCTGCTGGTATGCTGATCACAGTCTGAGAACTGCTGGGATAAGAGAAATTTTACAAAACCTTGCTATTCAAAGTGTGCTGTAAACCAGTAGCATTAGCATTCCCTGAGACTGTGTTAGAAATGCAGAGTCTCAGAAGAGAGGGGAGGCAAGATGAGTGACTAGAGACTACTGGTCACCAGATCATCTCAGACAAAGAAGAAAAAGTTGTAGTTAAAAAAAAAGCATAGGTCAGGAAAAACTATGAAGGAAAAGTGCCAGAGATTACATAGGAAAAAGTTGCAAAGCAGAAAAGGAGGACGATTTTGCTAGAAATCAATGCCTGAGAGGCTTGGGGCCCAGTACAAAGGCTGCTAGGGCATCTCAGGTACTCCAGGCTGTGGGGCGGGCTCAGTGCCAAGTGACCCACCGTGGAGCCCAGCCCTGGGCCCAAGCCCCCAGCAAGCCCCCCTGCCGCTGTTTTGTGCCATTGGTCCCTGGACAAGCTGCTGCTGCAGGAAAGGAAGCCAGCGCCAAGCAAGTTGTGAATTCACGTCTCCTCCCAGGGAAAGCAGGAGTAGGTGCAGGTCCCCCTACTGCCACTGGAGGCATTTATCCTGACGCCACGATCAGAAGGAGACCTCAGGAAGAAACAACGTGGGAGAGCAGAAGCAGGACACAAACCTGTAGCTTTCAAAGAAAGAGGAGTAAACTGCAGACAAGTACCTACGTGCAGACAGCTTTTCTCAGAAGGAACATTGTAAAATCATGGAGAAGCAACATGCGACCCTCAGTAGTAAAAAAAAGTAAAGGTAATAGGGTGATATATTTGACAAATGGGGAAGAATAGTAAGGTAGAGCCCTGGTGTGCTACATTCAGCCCATAATCACCGTGGCCAAGTTATGAGAGGGCTCCCTCCACCACCACAGACCTCTACTCGGACAGTCTGGGGATCTGCCTGTTGTCTGTGAGGAGTCATTGCACCAGACAACAGGTGTGGTGGGAATCAGCCAGTAGCTAAAGACCTGGTGCACAGGGCCAGGTCAGCATGGGACTCCACTCTGCGTCAGCAGCCTTCACATTGCTCCCACTAGGCTGGAGAAGAAGCAGACTAATCAGAAGCTCCTCTAAACCATATCCAGTGACTAGAAGACACGCACCTCTCCCCTACAGTGCAACAGGATTTGAGCATCGGAATCAAGTGGGGCACTACAGGCCCCAACCTGAGAAGGTGACCACTTTGGTGAGTCCTGGGGTGGGGCAGAGAGAACTCCATGGTCCCTGGGCTACTGAAACTGACCTCCAACTACATGACTTGGCATCTGCACCCACCAACTGCACAGCCTTGGCTTGCTCTCTAGGTTCAAACTGCCTACCACCTGCTCTGCTTTAATCCCCCCATTCAGTCAGAGCAGCTCCACAAGCCCATACAGCCCTGCTTCTGGCTCCGAGGCTGCTCAGAGCCCTGTTTCTGGCTCTTCCACAGTCCTGTCTCTGAGGTTCTTGTGCTGGAGCCTGAGCTCCTGCCAAGCCCTGAACACTGTCCTAAGATTCCAGCACTTCCAGCACAGCACTTGGGCCCCAAGACTCCACCCTTGAGGCTCACCATTGCTATAGGGCTGGCAGACTTTCTCCAAAGTCCAACACCCCATCAGGGACCCCACAGCCTTGACCTGCCAGTACATTGGGACCTGGTTTATGTAAATGCCCATAGCCTGGGAACCCTGGAACACTGCTTAGATAGCCTCACCCAGATACCATCATCACCTCTGTGGGGAGATCCCAGGCAGAGAAATCTACAGAATACAAACCTCAGCTCGGCGCCTGTGGCTCAAGCGGCTAAGGCACCAGCCACATACACCTAAGGTGGCGGGTTCGAATCCCCAGCCCGGGCCCGCCAAACAACGATGGCTGCAACCAAAAAACGGCCAGGCGTTGTGGCGGGCACCTGTAGTCCCAGCTACTTGGGAGGCTGAGGCAGGAGACTCGCTTGAGCCCAGGAGTTGGAGGTTGCTGTGAGCGTGATGCCATGGCACTCTACCCAGGGGGACAGCTTGAGGCTCCATCTCAAAAAAAAAAAGAATACAAACCTCCAGTGAAGAGGATCTCAAACAACCTATGACTATCTGGTGAATAGCCCAACACTCAAAACAAACAGGCTTAAGCAGAGGTAATCCCAGGTGAACAGAACAAGTCAGAACAGCTGCATTACAGGCTTCTAGTGCACGTGCCCCTCTTCTGCCATGTCAGCATTCCAGAGTAGGGAGAAAAATACACATCTAGTGTTTCTCCCCTTCCTCTAATCAAGCAAGAGGGTTCCCAACAAGGAACAGATGCCCTGCAGACCTATTAGTCCTGAGTTGAGAAAAGAGATTTCAGATCACAGGGAAATCAACAAAAGAACCCTGGTGATATGGGTGGCACCTGTGGTTCATAGGAGTAGGGCACTGGCCCCATATGCCGGAGATGGAGAGTTCAAACCCAGCCCTGGCCAAAAACTGCAAAAAAAAAAGAACCCTGGTGACATGATAAAACAAAACAGTTCAATTCCACCAAAAATCACAATGGTGCAACAGTAGTGAACTCCAACTACAAGGAGATTGTTAAAATGACAGAAACAGAATTCAGAATACAAATGGCAACTAAGATGATTTGAAGTGAAGAGAAAGTTAAAAACCAACAAAAAAGAAGCCAAAAACAATATTTCAAAAAATTAATGAAAAAATCACTAAAAAGCTAGACAACATAAGAATATAATAAAACCTAAATGAATATAAGAGTCATTTAGGGAATTTCAAAACAGCAAAAATCTTCAGAAATAGACTAAATCAAGGATAAGAAAGAATCTCAGAGCTTTAAGGCAAGGCTTTCGAACTAACCTAGTCATTTAGACTAAGAGGCAGAGAAGAAAACCGAAATGATGGAGAAATCACTTACAGAGATATGGAACTATGCAAATTGAACTATAATAACATATGAATAATGGGATTTTCTGTGGGAAAAGAAAGAGCTAAAAGCATGGAGAAGATATTCCAGGAAATTATTGAGGAAAACTTTCCAAGTATCACCAGAAATCCACACATCCAGATACAAGATGGCCATCGAACCCCAGGAAGATACATAGTAAATAGGACATCTCCAAGGCACATAGTAATCAACCTGATCAAAGTCAAAATTAAAGAAAAAATTCTATAGGCAGGTAGACATAACTAACCACTGACATATAAGGAAAAATCAACTGCCAACTTCTCCATGGAGACTTTAAAAGCCAGAGGGGATCAGGACCCCATCTTTAGTCTTCTTCAACAGAAAACTTCCAACCTAGAATTTTGTATCCTGTAAAACTAAGCTTTGTACTTGTATATGAAGGAGAACTAAAGATTTTTCCAGACAAGCAAACACTGAGGAAATTTGTCAAGATCAGACATACCCTGCATGAAATACTCAAAACCATGTTATATGTGGATCAGCATGATAGACACGCATCAGAATAAAACTGCCCTAAAAGCTAAAATGAAACAATAAGTAAACAGAACAATGAGCTACTACCCACAGGATGAACACAACAACATCCCACATCTCAATTCCATCAGTCAATATGGACAGTTTGAATGCCGCATTCAGGAGATGCAGGCTGAGTCAATAGAAGAAAAAAATACAACCCAAATATCTGTTGTCTCCAGGAAATACATCTAACCCATAAGAACTCATCTAGACTCAAGGTGAAGGGATGTAAAATAATATACCACGCAAAGAGAAAGCAGAAGTAGCCAGTCTTAAATCAGATAAAATTGACTTTAAATTAACAATAGTAAAGAAAGAAAAAGATCATTATTGGTCATTATATAATAGTAAAGGGAGCAATTCAGCAAGAAGACATAATAATCCTAAATGTTATGTACCTGACACAAGAGTGCTCCAATTCATAAGCAAACCCTACTGTATCTAAGCAAAGAAATAAAGAGCAGCAGCATAATTTCTGGGGACTTCAACATTCCACTGATAGATCTGGGCAGATCACCCAAGCAGAAAATATGTAAAGAAACACTAGACTTAAACAGAACTCTAGAGTGAAAAAGACATAACAGAAAATTATAAAACATTTTACCTAAAAACTACTGAATAAATATTCAGCACATGTAGCAGTCTCCAAGATTGATGATATCTTAGGCCAAAAAACATGTCTCAACAAATTTCAAAAATAATGGAAATTATACCATGTATTTTCTCAGACCACAGTGAACAAAAACTATTAATAAAATGTCCATGCTACCAAAAATGACTTACGTGTTCAATGGAATCCCTATCAAAAAACCAATGTCATATCTCACAGATGTAGAAAAATTATTCTATGCTTCATTTGGAACCAGAAAAGAACCTGAATAACCAAAGCAATCCTAAAGAACCAAACGATGCAAAAAAAGCTGGTGACATCACATTACCAGACTTCATATTATACGATATAGCTATCATGACCAAGCAACATGATACTGGCATGAAAACAGAGACAGAGGAATAGAACAGAATAGAGAATCCAGACACAAAAACCGTCTACCTACAGCCAACTGACCTTTGGCAAAGCAGACAAGTAATGCACACTTGGAAAAGAAACGCTATTCAATAAATGGTGCTGGAAAAATTGGATAGCCACCTGCAGAAAAATGAAATAGAACCTCTCTCTCTCACCACTCACAA